GCGCGCCGCGCCGTGTCGCGTCGTGTCGTGCGGCGTCGCGCGTCGCGTCGCGTCGCGTCGGTAGCTTTCGATGAAAAATAAATACGGCCGAACGTACGTACGCTCGTACGTACGTATACACACGTTGGTCGCTGGCAAACGAAGCGAATTGTTGTTCGCGTAACAGAGGGGCTTCGGTGTACGATCGTTTGCTCTCGTGAAAGTAACCCGCGTCCGCGCGCGCAATCGTGACCGCGATACGAATCTCTCTCTTTGGCACGCTCGTCCCGCCTCCGGTATATAGGTCAGCTATGTGCGGATCGCTAGCTACGATGCCGACGTGCTTTCGCGGTAATGACGCCGACACACCACGCCGGACCCATTTAAATATCCACGGCCGATCGTTTGACTTTTTCTTTCCGCCACTCCTGTCACAGATCTAATTTTCTATCGCAGCGAGAAACGTTTCCTTTCGATTTAACCCTCGAACAGTGTACTCGCGTGCCAGTATCTATCGCGTGTATCATAGAGATGATTTTGAAATTTCATCAGGCCTGCAATGAGACGCAACTATCGCGACTAAACTGGGAAAATTTGAAACCAATCGGAAAATGTGTACGTACGCGGTATCCAAGTGTTGCGCGAATCTCTGTTACGCGAAATACAAAAATGAGAATCAGATCCCAATAATCGGCAAAACATACTACGAATAGTATACCCTTCTTTCATAATTAATATGTCGAACGAAACGGCCGGTAATTAGGTAAAATTACGTATTACGTGCTAATATCGTTCGCGTTTAGTCGGCAAAAATGCCATGGACTTTTTACCAGGGAAGCTTCCAATTGCTACTTTCTTGCAGCGAAAATATTCGAATATTCGTCGGGCCGACGTTCACGATTTTAAAAATGAGCGATCGCGATGGACGCCGTATTCGGCGAACGAGGATTGAATCAAGGGACAGGCTGGTGCGTGGAACATTATCGAGATTGCAGAATATTTCAAAGACGGGAAGACGCATGGGTGGCTGCTCTGGATGAAAAATGTCAAAAGTACGCCGGCCTCGATCTAAGAATTATCGAGGAGCTGCCCTATCTCGAGCGGGGGAAAAAAATCGGTGAAACATTTAACTAATAGCTCGACGTCAGGAGAGAAAGATCGGGACGGTTAAGGGCGTTGCGCGTACTCCGCGAGGGAAAAAGAATGCTCGCACCGTGCGAGAGATAGAGCAGGTAGAACGGTATCGCTTCTGCGTTATTACGCGACGAGTCATCGGAGAGGTTGTTTCTCAAAGTTAATTTACACTTTCCGCGACGCGTCGACACGCGTCGTGATAACGTTTCATACGAACGGCGCCTATACGCATGGGATTTTCCCTACAAACGTACATGGACGCGTGCGTTTGATTAAAACAGTATCAGTATTCAAGGGTTTCTATCTCTTACTTCAACAAAGAGCGCTTCCGAGGTTGTTGTTTCGCCGCAGAATTATGTAAACGATATACGTAGGATGGTTGGTTAAAGAACATCGTATACAAAAATGATGACCGTAGTTTCTCGAATAAGAGAGCTTCAGTGGGATAAGCTGTTTGTACGCAGAGGTTCCAGGTGATCGTTTCAAATGTCGATAAACGTAACCATACTGTAAGCTGTAGATATTAGGTCGTCCGAAAAGTTTCTTTCGTTTTACGAGGAAACGATAGACGCACAACGTATTTTATTTTATACTGTTTCATCGAATTACTTACGATCTATTCTGTTCTGTCGAGATAAACGTTTCTGTTAGAATTTAATCTTGGAATTAGGATTAATCATCTGTGGAAGACACAATGTTTGTGTTGAAATAATACAATGTGATATTTATTAAACAATTATTTCAAGAGTTACAAATGTGCGTTCTGGAATGTAGACAGTTGGCTAGTTATTCACAGACTAACTGGCTTAGTGACCCATGGCCCTTGAAAAGGTTTAGAGCCCCACTCTCTATGCAGTAATGAGTGTGACCTGTGTGGGTGCCTGTGTGGCGTCACATGTGGCACAGAACCTTCTAGTAGCTTCTCGACGTGCCCATCTAGAATGTTCCATCCATATCCTCACGTCTTTTCCGGCGTTTTTTTTTTGAAAAAGCATGCACGTGCTAACTGCCGTGGTGCGTCTCACGAACGCACGCTAGTGGGGATGACGCTGGGCAACGAACGGAAGAATCCGTACGATCAAACGCCTTATCTGCATGCGATTGATATCGTTGTATTCCAACAGTTTCACAGACTTGGTTTCATATTTCTATGAAGGTGCACTGTCGTGAAAAACACGTTTGCGTAGGAAAGACACTTTTCGGACAACTAATAGATATTGTAGAAGCAGAAAACCCCACTTAAGATTTATGAAAACGTCGAATATGTGATATTCGATAACATTATGACAAGGAATGCGTAAAATAAGTGAGATTACGATAATTGGAACATCCCCGTTAGACTTACCGGTTAGCTGATTTTTATAGGAAATCTGGCCTTTAACCTCGCGTGGTATTCCAACGAAAGGCAGTCGTTGAAATTTATTTAGATATTTAACGCTCGAAGAAAAAGAAATTTTCGAACCGTTGGATTCGGAGTTATGTCGCTAGCGGCGGTACAAAGAAATCGCTTTGCACGAGGTCCGTGCAATTAGCGGTTCGTACGTTTCAGCGTGAGAAAGAATAGAAACCGAGACGAGAGAAAAGTAAGAGAAGAATACCAGAGCGAATAATAAATATTTAACGTGAAAACATCGAGGCGGCGGACAATCTTACAAACGTTTTACGAGCCAACGAATACGAGGGGCGGACGCGCACGCAATTTCCACGCGGTTTCGCGCTCCTGCAAGAGCTTCCGCGATACTCGACTCGCCCGAAGAACCCGGTCCACGCGTCGTCTCCTTCACACGCGCAGAAATATCTCTGATCGTAGGATAGCGCGAGACCGGAGAATCGACAGCCGATCGCGTTTCGTTGGTCGAATCCCGAATAATACCGCCGTACGCGCAACGATATCGTGACTCGTTGAGAATCGAAAGATCGCAGCAGTACTCGCGCAGAAACGCGATTGTAACGAACGGAACGTTTCGAGGTGCACGAAGCGTTCTCCGTAACGATGGACGACTCGACTCAACGAGCTTCTTTCAGGAAACATCAGCGACTCGCAGTACATCACATACATGACAAGTAAGTACGAGCGGCGTGCAAGCGAAGCGCGCTGCAAAGTTTCCCCGGTGACCGAGGACGCGAATTGCACGAGCGTAACTCCGCGGCGAAATTTATCGAAGGTTCGAAGAAGGAAAAGAGCAGGAACGGAGCGTGCAAAGTGGAATAAAAGGAAGGAGAAGAAAGGAGAAGAAAGAGGAGGGAAAAAGAAAAGAACGTCTGGGCGACGTCTGAAGAAGTTTGGTTCGCACGGCCACGCCGGTCTATGTTTCCTTGCGTTTCAAGGGCCTCGTTAGAGCCGC